CTTCCTCTGCCCACAGTGTGGGGTTTACCCCTTCTGACCTAATGCAGGGTAGGCTCACCCCCTCACATGCCTATTTCCAGGGAGTTTTTAGTGGGCGTGCGGGGAGGAAAAGGACCATTCATACTGGACAATTTTATTTCTTTTTGGCTAATAACATTGGGGCGATATTCTGCCACCATGATTCTTATTGCATGGAAATTAACGGGACTGCTTTCTGATTAAAGTACTACCCTAGATGAGTAATGATATCAGGAAATTAAGCTTTAAACACACCATTCATTTGTTCACATTGAGTAACATGCTATGCCCTGAATGTCACCATTTATTTCACTGGGATTAGTCAGTAAGGGAAATGCTATTCAATGTGAGTAAGAATGGTAATATTTGTCAGTTAGCTAGAGAAGATAGAGGTATGCCATATAGTTAAACTGCCCCAACATGTAACAGGAAAAAACCCACTTCCTATCAAATGTACAATTTCTGTTCGGTGTGGGGGGTTTTTGTTTTTGTTTTTTATTGTTTACAAGAATTGACCGGAACCTTAGCTTTTCGCCGATGTTGTCAAGATATGGTTTAGATAAGACACCTTTTTTTCCTTCAACCACTGTTTTGCCCCAGTTCTGTACAGCAGTTCTTAATATGTGATTAAAGGATTCATGTTATCATGTTTCAGAGGGGTATCTCTGTTAGTCTGTTCAGCAAAAACAACAGGGGGTCCTATGACACCTTTAAGACTTACAGATGTACTGGGTATAAGATTTCATGGGGTGAAGCCCACTTTGACAGATGCATGAAATGCATATTATCATAAATATTATCATGAATATTTCTTAGTGTTGTCTTATTTAGTGTTAATTCAATTCCTAAAACTTCTGGAAATGACTGGCATTTTATATAACTATGAAATTAATGAATGATATATCAACCTGGCAAAGTCTTTGCCTATTTGCACTGTTCTCTACACATTGTATATATTATTATGCTACGACATAAGTTAAGTGATCAAATGTAAACAGTTCAGATAGTTCTTTGATTAATAGGACGGTGTCCATGAAAGTGTAGCTCTAATCATGAATATGTGGTGGAGATCAATACAAATAGCATGATATAGCATATAACGTAACAGTATTCCAGCATTTGACATGCCCTTTATTTCGAACTAACAGGTGCGGTCTGTCGTTGACCAGGCAAAGTCATTTTGCATAGATTATACTTATAGGAAAGCTCAAGAAATTAAATATATGTAATAGAATTTTATACTAATTATATAATATAGTATAATAATACTAATTTTATACTAAAAGGGAAGTAAAAGAACAGATTTAAATTTGTAGGATTTCAACATCAAACATTATTCATTTTATTGAATAATTACTATACATAGTAAATTTGAGTCGGAAACTCATAAAGCTTGCATTACACTTCCCATAACTAATTTGAATTATTCTGTGATTTGTTACAGTAAAAAATTCCTTTGCAATAAAATGACAGTTGAATAGGCCACTCAGTTTTAATTTTGTTAGCAAATATTTTTATGAACTCTAATCAGAATAGTCACGACACTTTTCTGATGAAAAACAAAGGTTTAAAAAAATCTTTCTTTTAAATAATGCACTACCTTTTACACCAGCATATTCCAATGTAAAAGGTAGTGCATTCAGCTAATTCAAGGGGCAGGATTGTTTATGCAAAATTAGGTATCTGTAGGTAATCCTGAAGTATGACTTCATTTTGCATGAACAAATCCACAAACAAACTCTTTTAAAATATATAATACAAGTTGGAACTCTCTTAACTGGGATTCTCTGGTCTGGCAACATCCATGCTCTGGCGCGAATCTTGCAGGACCAGAGTCCTGGTGGAGGATCAGCAGCAAGGATCCCTTTGGAGTTGGCAGGACGAGTTGACAGTGAGGCCGCCCAATGCGTGGTCCCAGGACTGCCCAGCAGCGTTGGTTGACCTGGGGCATGGCTGCCCGGTGAGACTGGGAGCCACAGTAGCTCAGTGGGGCAGGGAGCTACAGCACCTGGCTGTCTTGTGTGTCCCAGAGCTCCAGGGCAGCTTGTGCGGCTGCCCAGCTGGTCCTGGAGTTCCAGGGTGACACGCGCGGCTACCCAGTGGGTCCCAGAGCCAGGGCAGCGATGGCTGCCCAGTGGTGTTGGCAGGGCAGAGAGGCTACCAGGAAGTAAGGAGTTGGCCAGGCCAGGAGGGTATGGTGGCAGGCATCCAAAATGTCCTCCCCTGGTCCAACAAAATCCCTTATCTGGAACCAGTCAGGTCCCTAGAACGCTGGACCAAGGAGGTCCAATATGTAGATACAAATGTATGCAGCATAATGCATTAAGAAAAAATGTACATGAATGCAATATATATTTAGGGAAATACTTTGATGGGAATTAGCATTAGTCTGGCAAGTCTTTTGCCTTGTACTATAATTTTTCTGCTTTGTTAATTTCACTGTCTCTTGAGAGTTGTAGATTAATGGTTGTATGATATGCATTGTAATAAAAATAAGCATATTGAGTAAGCTGACTTTCATCCAGACTTTCAAAAGTGAACAAGGAATTGCAGGGCAATGCTTTGCACTGCAAGCTCATATGATTACTTAGATGATGGTTATTTTGTAAATGTAATTACTGTGATATTTTTACTTATGTAGCTCAATTCTACACAGAGATTTCTTCTTAGAGCTAGTCTATTTTTTTTAAGATAAAATTGGTATGTATATTTCTTCAGCTCTGATTTTTTTTCTTTTCTGAAAACATCTTTCAGGACCAAATTGGGCTTGAATAAAGACATTCACTGGTTGGTGCATTACAAAGCCAATTTCTCCTACCTCTAACATGCACATTTTCACTTCAAAAGCTATGAATGGGATACATCCAGCCCACTCAATTAGCCTCATTAATATGGGCCCTATTATTGACAGGTACTTCTGATGTTACATATATATCTTGTTTTCTGTTAATTCCACTCCAGTTAATCTAATGAAGTGGGTTTTGCCAGAAGCTCATATTGTATATATTTTTGTTAGTCTCTAAGGTGCCACAGGACTACTCATTGTTTTTAAAGTTACAGACTAACACACCTACCCATCTTAGACTTCGTAAATATAGTGATATCATTGTACTGATCTCTCTTAGAAGATATAGCAAATCACCTGTGAATGATGGAAAAAACAGGCATGTGTTATTGCTTTGTATCAATCTGCGTAACTATCTGTAACGCTTACAAAGTGGATCTACTTTAGAGTCTTGATGATGATGCCTGTTGTTTGCCTCAGGACTCTGAACAGTCAACTGTATTTAAAAACCTTCACTCCTGATGTGTTATGCAGAGGAAGCTTGAGTCCTCAGACTGAGATCTCCAGTCCCACCTGGATTACCCTGAATATGAATATTGGACTATAACCTATGGACTAATGTTGAAAGAACTCTTTGCAGTTGCAAAGCTCACTATGAAATAGATTTTACTCATAAAAGCTCATGCTCTAATATATTTGTATATTATATAACAATATATCTTGTATATTCTATATAATATATAACATGCCACAGGACTGCTCATTTTTAAAGTTACAGATTAATACGGTTCCCAGGCTGAGATTTTTTGTCTCTACTATGAAACTGATCTCAAAATTATACTCATGTCTGTATGTATGTATACTGATCTTTTAACCAACAATCTCTTTTCTTTTTAAAATAAATTTTAGTTTAGTTAAAAAGAATTGGGTATAAGTTTATATTTGGGTAAAATCTAAAATAAATTGGGAGGAAATGTGATCCTTTGGAATAGGTTGAACTTTATTACATGATGAATACAAAATTTCAGTAATCTTAATCAGTAATGATATCTATTAGCCTCTAAGGTGCCAAAGGACTACTCATTGTTCTGTCCATGTATCATATTTTATTAATCATATTTGACTGGGTGTCTGGATGGAAGACCAAGTCTGGGTTGTTAAAAGGGAACAGTGTTTTGACTTGTGCAACCAATAAAGTATTTTAGAAACTGTTTTGGTTGGTGTAGTAAATCTAAATATTGGAATATCAACTATCTTTAGAAATTGTCTAACCCATTCTTCACAGTTTGCCCTAATTGAGTAACCTTGGTGTGGCCTTCGTAGGTCCCCAGTCACAGCTGTACAATACACACTTCTTTCTTATCCTGGTGTACTGGATTCCTGAGACATGTCACTGGGCTCTTTTGAATCAGAATACAAACAAAACTCTCCTATGGCAGTTACTGAACTGTGAGCTAGAGCAGAAATGGCATATTCCTTCGGTCACTGACCTGGAAGCTCAGGGAAAACTGCTGGGAAACCTACCTAAAAACCTTTCAACTAACAAGATTGTATTTTCAGAAGAACAGACTGCTTCTACTTACTTTTCTTTTGAAAGAAGCAGTTTCAAATTGTGGACATTCTCCCTCTTTTCCTATGGGATGCATGGGTAGATGCAGGACAGCTGCCCAGAAAGTATCTTTGAGGAAGACCTGCTTGATGGAAACAATTTAGTTTAAAATTGTAATGAAAAGTTATCTACAAAGAAACAATGTTGTTGCTTTACATCCATCTTGATTAACTGGGCTGCTTTTGCTTACAGTTCCCTGATATCAACATGATGGAAACGAAGAGAATGGAGGAAACAACTCTAAAACCCAATTCCTTGCTGCTCTTATAAACTCCCAGCTTAATGACTGTTTAGTACCATAAGAGGAACTATTATTTTTCATGAGCTTTTTACTCTTTTCATCAATTTCTAGGCAATTCAGGAACTATGGTCAGATTCTTTTTTTTTTTAAAAAAAAGGTTAATAAATAAAGGCAAAATAGTATGTGTGGGATTTTTTTGTTTAATTTTTGCTGGTTTTGAAACAGTTTATTCATCCTAACTTAGTCATAAAAATACCCCATTGATCAAATACTTATTTCATATTGTACCTTCTTTTGAGTAAATACTTCATTAATTCCACTGATGTCTGATTTATGGTTATTTTCAGAATTGGAGGCCGAGGAGTGGTGCAAACATCTTTGCATGGAGTGTCTAGGAACCAGGCTCAATGATATAAGCCTTGGGGAACCTGATTTGCTTGCTGCTGGAGTACAGAGAGAACAAAATGGTAGGTAGCCATTTGATCCGGCCATTCCAAATATTTCTCTCTAGTTCCTACTAGGGGAACAACGTTCTATATTTGTTGTGCGTTTTAATTTGCATCTCCTAGAACAGGAGTGGGCTGTAATTTTTGGTGGAGGGGGAACTCCAAGATTTTGGTAAGTAATCAAGGACTGCACTTTCTGTGGAAGGGATGCAGAGGTCTAGGTTGGAAGTTGGGTGCAGAAGGGCACATGGGGTAAGGGACTGAGGTATAGGCAACCGTGTGGGATCTGAAAGGGTGTTTGGATGGAGGAGGGGGTTGTGACATGGTTCAGGGAGGGAGTGTGAGTGCAGAAGAAGATTCTGGCCTGGGGAAGGGTGTAGGAGGGAGTATCGGGTCTGGGGCAGGAGGTGCAGAGGGTTTTGATGGTGATCTGGGGGAGTTTGGGTGCAGGAGGGATTGGGGTGCCAGAGGCAGGCATTGGCTGGGAGGAGTTTGCCTAAGTGTCAAGCTACCCCAAGACAGGCTGGGCTCCCTGCCTGCTGTAGCCCCAGAATGCTTGAAAATACACGCTGCTCCCTCCATGTGGCTTTCAACTCCAGGTGGGGAAAGAAGCTGCCACAGTCTTTCAGGCCAATCTTTCAGCTGCGATTGGCTGGCTGTTTCCAGCCAATAGAAACTGAGAGATTGGCTGAGTTAGTTCTTATTGGCCAGTTGTTTCTGGCCAATCGGAGCTGAGGATTGGGTTGGGGGCGGGGAGATCATACAAAGCCTCCCCCTTCCTGTAGAGCAGAGTGCTGCAGGGACTGTGTTTTATGCCTCGGCAGCTTCATGTGCCTGAGGGTCTTGGAAGGTCTGTGGGCCAGATCCAGTGCCTTGGCAGGCCAGCTCCGGCCCCCGGGCCGGATCCAGTGCTTTGGCAAGCCAGCTCCCGCCCCCGGGCCATATTTTGCCCAGCCCTGTCCTAGAATATTTTGCCTAAAATTATTAGAAGCTTGCTTTATTTTACCAACATCATAATATGTATTGGATTAATAAAGAAAAACTGATCAGATGAAAGGAGGAGAGAAAATTCTGACTAATTCTAGTAGCAAGTCCATGACAAATAAGGAGGAGAGAGGAAATAGAAAGCGAGACAGACTGACGGACTCCCTGGTCACATTTGGGAAATTTAAAATAATGACTTATTTTGGATAAAATAGCAAGGTACAGCTATGACTAACAGTGCCTCCTTGAGCAAAGAGTGTGTGTGTGAATGAAAATTCTGTACTGAGTCATTAGTTTTACAGTACCTAAAAAAGTGCAATTTTGACTCATATCCCCAATGTAGAATTCTGCATTTAATCTGGCATCTGTAAAATTCAAAGTTGCTATCCTAGTTAGCTGTATAATGCAAAGCAAATGATTGTTTTCTTAAAATCCCAGTAGGATGTAGAATAACTAGATGCTATTATTATTGGCATCAGTTCACCCTTTTGGTTGACATAGCTGCTACCGTAAGAGCTTGCAGGTGTGCTCAGTTGTTTTCCACTTTTTTTTTTTAACTAAAATAAGTTGAATAGAACTGTGGAGTTCAGTTTACCTTAGTTACTCTATGGCTACGTCTATACTGGCATGATTTTCTGGAAATGCTTTTAACGGAAAAGTTTTCCATTAAAAGCATTTTTGGAAAAGCACATCTAGATTGGCAGGACGCTTTTCCGCAAAAGCACTTTTTGCGGAAAAGCATCCGTGGCCAATCTAGACGCGCTTTTCCGCAAAAAAGCCCCGATGGCCATTTTCACGATCGGGGCTTTTTTTGCGGAAAAAAAAATCTCTGCTGTCTACACTGGCCCTTTTGTGCAAAAGTTTTTCAGAAAAATACTTTTGCCCAAACGGGAGCAGCAGAGTATTTCCGCAAAAGCACTGACAATCTTACATGAGATTGTCAGTGCTTTTGCGAAAATTCAAGTGGCCAGTCTAGACACAGCCTATATTTGGCAAATTCATTTCCAAAACCACAGTGTTATGGAAGAAATTAATAATTTCCGAGGAAATAGTTTGGTGATCTGATATAGAAATGTCAATTTTTTTTCTTTAATCAGTGGTACAAAATAATGAGTTCTACCAGTTTGCAAATTTCTAGCTCATAATGACTCACTTCCAAAGATTGTAGCTCAAAAGGCACTTGAAATCCATAAAGAGAGAGATGTGCTCTTGATTACCTGAAATTGAAAGGTCAAAGTGTAAATTTGCAGCATATAAAAAGCAATAGTATGTAACAAATTTCAGGATTTTTGCTCCTTGTGAAAATGGCAATTAATTGTCAGACTCAAGTCTGTTGCAAATTACTGCATTTTAGATAAGTACTCATATAGCATCTTTCAAACCAGTATCTCAAATAATTTTGGAAGCATTAATATCCTCACATCATGCCTCTGAGCTAGGTTAATATTAATGCACAGACTGATAAAAACAGAGGGGAAGACACACCTGAATTTTAGCAGCAGAATCAGGAAGAGAACCTCAAAATTTCTACTCCAAGTTTCCAGGTCTTTCTACTAGCATGTACTGTTTTCTGAATTTTTCCAGGGCTATTCTCTCAGGAAATGTTGGATATGGATGAACAAGAGGTACCTTGCTATTGGTTGGTGTAAAGGTTGACACAGAATTTTCAGTTTAATTAGATTGAATCAATAGTTCTAATGTACTATTGATATTTGGTAGACTAAAATATCGGCATCATAGTGGCATGATAGAACATCACAAAATTAATATCTTTATTTCCTAGCAAGATGGTAGTGCCAGATATAGTCTTACTCTGCTATCGTTTGCAAATGGTCTTACATCCCATCACATCTACTGAAGTGTTTATGCTTTGCCGTAGTGAGGTGCATGCTTTACTGATAAATAATCACTGTTACTCAAAAAAGCACTAATTTAAGAAGAGTTATGAAAGAAAACTGTTGTTGTTTTTTCCATTCTTAATATTGTATGTCTTGCATCTCCCCTCATGTTTCAATGAGACACATCTTTTCTCTGGCCTTAGTGAATTCTGTGTTCATATCATTGGTGTGCCATAAATCGGTGTGGCCAGTTGTTAATGTAGGTTGAAATGGGAAGAAAAGCTCTTGTCATGTGAGCCAAGGGTGGGCAGGAGAGGTGAAAAAGCTAATGAGATCACAGCCCACCCAAGGTAAGGAAAGTAGAATGGAATTCTCTTTCCTCATTTCCACTTGGTTTAGCTCCTGGGTATGGCAAAATAGCAGATGGGTGGGTCTAGCTTTCAAGTTTTGCAGTAAATTGTTATGCCAATCATTGTGTAAGCCTTAGAACTACATATCCTCTTGTCATTGAGACATGTTGCATGTTACTTCAGTTTTAACACCCAGTTATTCCAGGGTTTTGAAAATATTTAGAAAGGAGAATTAATGCAATATTGACAAGTTGACTAGCCTCTTTTTTTTTTTTTTTTTTTTTACGTGCATGCCCATTGACCCTCTTTCTCTACATTCTTGGTTCCCCTGAGATGAGCAGTAGATTTTAGTGCTTTGTGACATAAACATGCTTTTTCCTGGAAGAGTGGAAAAAATTATATTCAGTGTACAAACAACATAACAGAATAGACCCATGCAGAGCTGAGGGAATAATGGGTTTTTCTGTTCCCAGGCAATTTTGGATGTTTTAGAAAAAAAATTGTGTTACACACAACATTGTTTTAATTTAAAGCATTTTTATTTGTATTTTTAAATGTAATTAGACATTTTTATTTAAAAGTTATTTACAATTAAAAGATTAGAGTGAAACATTTTTTAAAAATTAATTTGTTTTTTAACTGAAACAATTTGGCAAATTAATATATGTTCATTAAAACATTTTGGTGTTGCAGAGCATGCATTTTTTACCAGAAAAACAAACGTTTTGGTCAAAATATTCACGCGGCTCTTATCAGTTCTGTTAACTAAATTATTAATGTTGCTTGATTGAGGCTAAAGTCTGTTGTTAGCTTAGTGGTTTAAAAGAGAGAGACTCTTGCATGATTTTGAGTGTTTAATGATTGATATTAAGATATAAACCCACTTTATAATTCTTTTCAATATTGTACAATCCTTATTTGTATGTTTATTCTCTACCTACTGGTTTTATTAGATCTGCATCCTGTTGTGAAAAATATATGTTCACATTTTCTTTTTGACTTTTTTTTTTCATATTTTGGAATGCTTGATATGGTAAACAGCCAGCATGTAAAGTAGAAAAGGTTAAAGCTTGTATATGGCTATAATGATTGCTAATTTAATATAGATAATACTAAAGGAATGGAGAGAAGATACCTTCTCTTCTCCTTCCCTCCCACTTCCTGCACAACCACAGTTATTCCCTGGTGATGACAGGTAAGCAAGCACATGGCAGTGCTTGCTTTAATGGGGACCTCTGGCTGGAAGAGTCCTGTCACTAGGTAGGGAATAAAGAACAGTTTTAAGCTACTGCTGTGCAAAGCACATCATTAACAGTATGAAGCCACCTCTTTGGATTCTATCTCCATTATTACTAGGAAGATGTATTATTACGTATGGTAATATCTCCATTTCAGTGCGTTAAGTGGCTTTTAGAAATTTTCTTTATATCCTAGACTCATTACTCATTGCTAAGTTGAATAAAATCTATAGAAAACTGAGCACTGAGATGAAGCCTGCCTTACTTTCTCCCTCTCTTTTTTTACATTCTTTTACACACACACACACACACACACACACACACACACACACACACACACACACACACACACGCCACAGTGGGGATGGGGTCCCTAGGCACTCCTACAAATAATAATTCTAGCAAAGCGGAGCTGGACTCAATTGCATCTATGGACCGACCCTTATTTTCAAGAAATGTGCCACTGTTTTAATTTGTTTATCTGAGTTGCTGTGGTTTGCCTGAAGAGTTAGAGTCTATGACTAGTTTAATCAAAATGTTTCTCTGCTTTAGTTTTTAGCATTATATTCTCAGTCTCTTTGATAAAAATGAAGCTAGTTGTTGACAAATCT